TAGCTTTGCGCGAAATTCAAAACAAACAAACAATCAAATCCAGTGGCATAGCCGTAGTCTATAGGCTTATAATGCTAAAACTCGGGTTTTGATACCCGTAGTGGGAAGAGCACAGATAACTCATTGTATAGCTTTGTGCTTAACAACAAAGAACGAAAGAAACCCTGTAGTCTATCACTATCACTTCAAAATTAGGAATGACAAGTGCTCTTAAGTAGCTTTGCACGAAATTCAACAAACAAACAAAACAACTAATTTCTGTACTAGTTGCCTTAAATGAGAACTGTAAGTTATGAAAGAGTTACAAAATTATCTCTCTCTCTGTTTATTGTTTTAGGTCAAATTATTTCCCTTTAAACGATACATAAAATTGTCTAAATCTGCTTAATTTCAATAGTACTTTCTATCACAAAATTTATGACTTCTAACGTATGATTATGGTTTTAGAAACGGTAAAACTGCATAGAATATTATTGTTTACTTCCTGTGTTCTGTCGTTGAAAGGGTGAATATTTCATTATTTTAACAGGAAATTGTTTTGTATGTAGTAGTTTTCTCTCACTCTCATACACACAAAAACTACCGGGAACATTTTTTTTTTATGTTCACATAAAAGCAAAATAGAAGTGAATAACCTGTTCAGAAATGGAGAAATTATTTCCATTTTAGTGAACTATCAACAATGAAAATCCCATTCATTGATTTTTATCACGAATCTAATATTTTCTTCAAATGTGAAGGTTGTCAGTCGGAACTTTCATTAACAGCCTTATTTGATAATTAAAAGAAAAAACACATTGTTCAAATTAATTCGGTTTCTATGATAAGGAGGACTTCAAGAATTATACTTCTACAAGTTATTCTGTAAATATTTATGCAATATCAACAAAGAACGAGATTTGTAAAGCAACGTATTATACAAATTATGGATACATGAAATTAAACAACTGCCTTTCGCTTGGACACTCCATACGGGATCTCAAGTCTCTCCATGAACCTGAACATGCCGCACGGGAAAGTCTGAGTTTCGACTGCCATCTGGAGATCCATCAAAGGACAAGTCACGTCTTAGCGTATAGCAGCTTCATGGGGGCTAATTTGACCGTCTATGCTGTTAGGTTCGGCGAAACCAGCCCACACAATTTGACGTTGACAATTGACGAGCGTTAAGCCTAACAGTGTACGACTGACAGGTTTAGTGAATCGAGTTTACGGTACATGTTTAATCCGCTCCCCCATCTTCCCACCTTTACTTTTTTTGTTACGCTCTTTCAATTCATTCTCTACTTCATTCTTATCTATGTGGGAGTATTTTTTGTCATTGTCTTGATGTAGATGTACTTACCGTGAATGTAAAGTAAGCTAGTTATCAAAGTAAAGTCTGCTTAAAATAGCATACAAGTACTGAACCACAGCTGTAATTCACTTGACAGGAAATGAATGAAAACGTTTTCATATTTCAAACGTTAAGTCATGTTCTGATTCTTCAATATTGTTATTTTGAAGCTGGCTTTACACGTAGTTTTATAGCTTGAATGTTAAGCCTAGTTTCGTTATTTAACCCTTAATAATTTTGAAGCGGGTTATGCATACGGCTTTCTAGTCTGGTGTTGTTAATATTTTATGATAGTAAAACGGTAATTTGCTCCTTAAAAGTTTAGCGCCAAATAATTTTTCCTGTTTTATACCATTGAATAACTGTTCGGTAAAATCAAATTTTACTTTCCACACTATTAATTAAACGTAATACTTGATGGCTCAGATAAAGGGTTTTACTATGGATACAGAGCAGAAAACACAGTGAGCAGCTTTGAACTGAGTCTGTGGTTGCTCGTGTATGTTTCATATAATTATTTTTACGTCGTGAAGACATCTGGAATAGTCTAGCGTAAGCCAACATATATATATATGTCTATATTTAAACAGAGACGTCGCAGAAAGTTCACAACATTTGCCTGGGAAAACTGAAGTAGCGTATCTTTATAAAAATGTGGGTGTGTATATCTGTTGTAAAAAGGCCTCAACATTTCCCATGGAGAAATCACATGTTTATTCACGAATGTGGGTGTATATTACTAGACTGTAAAATGTTCATAATATTTCATAGGGAAAACTAAAATCACGAATATCTGTGTATTTTTTAAGTGTATTTCCAGTGTAAAACATTACTAAATTTCTCAGGTAAAACTGACATGATGTGTCTCTAAAGGATATGTGGTTCTGTATTAATATGGTAAACTGTTGTCAACTTTTATCAGGGAAAACTCAAATCATATGTCTCCATACGCATGTGCGTGTGTATTACTATTTTAAAGCATTTATCTACATTTCACATGGAAAACTGAACTCACATATCACTGTATATATATATAGTTGGTTGTGTATTATTAATGCAAAAAGTCCATATTCCCTTGGAAACTCAAGTCAAATGCCTCGATAAATATATGGGTGTGTATTAATACAATAAAAATTTTCCGTAGAAAATTGCAATCACATGTCTCTCTCTCTATATATAAGAGTACATTACTATTTTAACATGGTTTCATCGTTACTCAAGGAAAACACACATCACATGTATCTATACATATGTGGGAGTGCACTACTATTTTAAATTGGTTTCATCATTACTCAAGGAAAACACACATCACATGTCTCTATACATATGTGGGAGTGCACTACTATTTTAACATGGTTTCATCATTACTCAAGGAAAACACACATCACATGTCTCTATACATATGTGGGAGTGCACTATTATTTTAAATTGGTTTCATCATTGATCAAGGAAAACACACATCACATGTCTCTATACATATGTGGGAGTGC